ACTGATAACTGAGGTAATATATCAAAATGCAAAAATATGCATTGGTTTTAGAATGAATCTCAGGCATTGTAAGAAAATTTCTCCTCATAAATTCAATTCCCTTTATTTTGGGTTCCTGAGGCGAAATGCTTTGTGTGTTGAATTGGTGAGCTGTACTCCCCAATGCTGAATGCAGTAAATGAGAGAGGTACAAAACAGAAGAGAACTGCGAAGTTATCAGCTGTATCAACGACGGGAAGAAAGGAACAGGCTGACGGAAAGTATGTAATAATCAGGGTATATAAATAGTAAACAGCACCTGCCGCCCAAACATGTGATAGCTTAATTTCGCACTTTTTCCTGCTTCTGGATTTGCTACCTTTCAAAAAAAAAATCCTCGAATTTTTATTGTTAAAATTAAAACTGGCACCAGTTTCTTTACCGTTCGAAGTGCCGCGTTGCTTGTCGATGCTCACACCATGACGGAGCTCTGGCTTTTTAAGACTAATTTGTATCTGAGTTGTTTCCAGTGCTACACTGCTCGCAGACGACCTAAATATTCATTTCTCTTGCCAAAATTTTCTATAAGATCACTTGGCCAATTGTTTTTTGTTAACAGAGTGGCTATTGTAGAGAAGCAGAGGGCACTCTCCAAGAGATGCAGTTCAAAATTTAAACGCGTAACTCAGCTATACCGTTCTGTGTAAGTTTGGCCCATAACAGCAGTAACTCGAATCGCTACAACAATTCTTCTTGTAGTCTTGGCATGCTTGACACTGGAGACTGTTGTAATAATACAAATAATTACAAAAGCCACGTGGCAAAACGCATCAGTTTCCTGTGCGGTCATGTGTTTTCGTGCTAAGCTTGAAGCAGACAGATCGCCAACAGTATGAATGGTTGTTGCTTTACATTTTAAAGTGTGCATTAATTAGAATAATGCTTAGATCTTTGCTGCATGCAAATGAAAAACAACGGCGAGTGAAACGGTCGTACTGCATCATGGGTCCGCGTGGAATTTCAACCTCTAGCATGCATAGCTGCCGTAATTCTTACATGAAAAGAAGAATTACTGTCACTGATCGTTCTTTGACAATGCAAATTAGGCAATGAAGAGGATGTTGAGGGAGAAAGATGACGAAATCCGAGCAACATGCACTCCCTTTTGAGGTTTAGTTAGGACTTAGCATTTTTCATGTCAATGTACAGAGAAGATAGTCTCTAAGCTGAATTAACACGACAGTCTCTAAGCTGAATTAAGACCACATGCTGATATAACATGATGCGCATGATCTCAACATAAATAGTACAGGGTGTCATTAGCTCCCTCACGAATTTGTGCCTGCCTCTCATAACGACCAGAAACAACATGAAACATGAACTGAAAAGACCTCAACCATCGTACTGACGAGGTCTAATTACAGGCTGTGTGAGAATTGTTTGACTGAAACATTCGTTCTCAAAACCATTCTTATCCTTTTTGCAGGTACCACTTTATCATTCCTCCAATTACAAAATACGTACGTGGAATCTTTCTGACGTGTTAGTCGTCGATCAGCAATGTACTGTTGAGTATATTCGCCGTAAGAGGCATACAAATTCAAATCAAGCGAGCTTGGTGAAGATATGTGTCGACCGCGGCCACTTAACTTGCGACTCATCCAGAGTTATGCTTTAAAAAACGATGTGGAAAAATTTTTGCGGTAAATAATCACAGACTGAGCGAGTTTTCGATAATAACTTGAGAAATGCAGCTTAGTAATGAAGCGTTTTCTGAGATCGACGGAAGCATTCCAATAACATCATTAGCATACATAGGCGGTTCTAGGGCGGACTCCCGGGACAGAGAAGGAGGGGCGACGGCGGTTGGGAAGGAGAGTCCCCTCCCACACTAGAAATATGCAAAAACTAGGGTCAGAATTGTAACACTGCCACTTAGAGTTACCTTAGTTTAAAGTTACTTTAGGCATTAGCTTACTTTAATCTTAGCTTTAGACCTGGGCTTTTGCAGCACTGGTGCCTTTGGTCACTGGAGGGAAAGGCGAAAGACTTATTGCTTCTCCACCCCGAATCAGCCTCTGTTAACACTAAGATAACAGCACTGATTTTTCGGGCGGTCTTAATGTCCTTGGTACACAACACAACTTCAAAACATTTCCTAGCACTGCTGCAGTTACACAATATTTGCTTTCGTCAAAATTAATTTCCTCGCTAGCCCCGTTTACACTCGTTTAGATTACGCATTTAAAGCAAAAAAATAATAAAAAGTTTTGCCCCAGTCACGCAAAAGCGGAATGCGTGAAAAATAAGAGAGTGCTTAATACTAC